GGGGGGGGGGGGGGGAGGAGGAGGAAAGAAAACAAAAAAGAGTTACCTTTGTCCAACCAGTGACTTCCTTGCAAGGCACCCAGAGACCCAGCTTGATGGGGGTCTCAGGAGAAGTGTGGCCTTGCTATGTGGGGTCTAAAGCATCTGCTCGCGGAAGCTTGGCGCGGATGCAGCCATGCAAGCTTAAAGGCAAAGTTCAGAGCACCGGCAAGCGAGCGGAGGCTTGCGGTGGCTCAGGGAACTTTATCCCCTCCATCGCCAGGAGGCCTTGGCTGGGGGCCACCCTGGGGTTTAGAAAATTAAAAACAACCAACCCCGTGCTCCGCTCTCCCTTTGATTAAGCAGAGCTTTTCGGGAAAGGAGGCAGCTCGACCCAGCCCCCTTCTTCCCCAGCTCTCCGCTGGCTCAGCTGGGTTTTAGCTGCTCCCTCCACCCCCACTCCTTGCCGAGATTTAGGGGGAAGCCCAGGAACCAAGATGCTGTTGTGTCCTCCCAGCAGGATGCAAATATCTCTGCTCCCTCCTGGGGTAAATCAAAGGGCCAGCTCCTTACTGGCATAAATCAGCTGAGCCCAATCCTTTGCCCAAATCTTGCGGATTTATTTGGTTTTGATCCCACTCTGTGCAACTTGGGAGGGGTAGGAACAGGGAAGAAAAGTTTTGGTTTGGTGCAAGCTTGGGGACAAGTGTCCTCAGTTTGGGGACACCACCACAAGAGCATCCTCCCTTCAGCACCTCGGAGATGGCCGGATCCTGCCCAGGGATCACCCAGCAAGTGCCATGGGTGCAGAGTGACAGTCCCACAGCAGTAGGAAACAGCCTAAAGGGGGTGGGAAAGGGATTCAAAACATCTTGGGCTGTGAACTGGGGATGCTTTGCCCCAGGCATGAGGGCAGGATTAACCAGCCCCTGGGGGTGCAGGCAGCTGGGAGGAACAGGCAGCTTTGCCACACTGCCCTTATCCATCCGCTCCTTGGTCAGTGTGTCCTTCCCACCAGCTACACAGAGTCCAGGAAACAGCAGCTTACAAAAAAAGAAAATTATCTAGACAAATACACACACAGTTCACATGTGATAGCAAGTGGAGCAAAGGAAAATTAATCAAGGTTGAAGATTTAGATTAATTTTTAGCCAAAACCTTGTAGCAATGCTGAACAAAATGACCTGCAAGTTTTTATCTCTCTTCCTTGGGATTGTTTTTAAAGGAGAAATGTTGCTGTTGGATCCCAAAGGTGCTTCCTCAGAAAGTTGAGGCACTGGGAAAAGGGATAACGGAGAGGGAAGAGGCTGAAATTCAGAGTCACAGTGTTTGGTCTTTTACCCCCTTTGACAAAAATATTCCGGCAATGTCCATCCTGATCTTAGCAAAGTGATGATTATATAGATGCACACCAGCCTTGAAAGGGCTTTGTTCCTAACCAAAACATGTCAAGGCACTCTAATGTCCTGCAGAAAGTTGGTATTCCAGCAGTCTGGCATTTCTGACTCAGAAACGGCTGTTGGGAACCCAGACACAAGGCTTGGATGTGCAGTTCCCACCCGGGCTCTGACAGTGCATGCACCTTGCCAAGGTGTGCTGCCCTCTGCTCAGCCTACAGCGGTGCAGGCAGCAGGGACCAAGCTGGGAAGAGCCCTGCAAGGTGCAGGTGAACCACGAACTTGGTGGCATCCCCAGATGCTGCTGCTGCTTGTGCTGGATAAGGAAGGAGATGGGATGGTTTACCTGCTACTTACACCTCTTCCAGTCCTGAGCAGCAGCTGCAGGGCGCAGAGACCCTCTGATGCCATGAGCCCATCACTACATGGGCCTCTGCCCCACAGAAGGTCTGTCCCAAATACCCTTTCTGCCCCTGGAGAACGGTTCTCTCCCTGTATGCATTGATATCCTGATCCTGCTTTATCTTGTAACAACGGATAAGGTGCTGGAGCATTGAGGTACAACCCAGCAGTCCCAAGCAAATCTCTGACTCTCACTGTGCCCATGAGGACCTTTCCCTAAGGGAAAAGACTTTTACAGGCAGGAACAGAGCTAAGAACAGCAGGAACCCACCTTTAACCAAGACATCCAGCTCTCATCATTATCACACAGACCACCTTTCATTTTACAGAACAAAAATCCCCAGGCTGCCAAAATAAATCGACCTCACACCATCCTATGAATCAACCTCATTCATGATAGAGCCATGGAAATTGGTATTTAGCTGGGGGGGGAGGGTGCAAGGAAGGGTCTCAGCCCCAGGTTTCACCGTACCTGGTATCATGTTCACACAATGGAGGTGGCACCTCCAGACCTGCTGCATGTGCGCCTCTGGTACAGCTGCGAAAATGCTGCATGAATGAACCGTGCCTTAGATTAGATTATGGGAAAATTAGTCTTTGATGATGCTGTCATTAGCAGTGGCTCTGTAATGTGTTTGCACAGGGGCGGGAGGAAATTAAGCAGGCTAGTTAAGGATGAAATAGCTCCCATTTCCCCACATTAGAGCTTGGCAGGGTTTTAATTGAGGCAGAGGAAACTTTCAGAAGCATTTGGGAGCTGAAGACCAGGGTGTGATCCTTCACACAGACACCGATTTCATCACCATGACTGCTCCTGCTGCTGTGCCCCAGGCAAATAGGGTCCAGCTCAGTGGCAGGGAGTCCCCACCATGGTGTGGGCGTGCAAGGAGGGGCTGGAGAGGGTCCCAGCTGCACATAAGCATGACAGTGACATCCTAGGTGAGACTAGTGGCCCAGATTGCCACAATTTTGTAGGTGAAACAACTCAGAGCAGCATCACGCACTCAATTCAAGCCATGATTGGGCTCTTGGCTGGGAGAAATCACCTTGCTCCAAAGCAGCTCTGCTTTGGGAGAGCATTGAGTGGTCTCCAGCCATCAGGGGGAAAAACCCACAATTCCTCCAACAGCATTAAAAGCATTTATGCTCTCAGCCCTCTCAAGGAAGTAATCCAGCCGTCAGCATATGGGAGCACCCTGGAGACATTACCACTCTTCCAGACAGGCTTGACTGGCAGGGGAATCACACACACACACACAATCCCCATTTGGCCAGCTCAAACTTAGCACAATGCAGAGCGCCTTTTTCTGCTTTCAACCCAGCTCAGTGCCCAAAGCTTCCTGAATTTTGACCCATTCCCCTCTCATTCTCATCTTCACCCCTGCAGCATCCTCACCAAGGCAGGAGGTTAAATGCATCAGCCAAGGTTGCCTTCAGGATCAGTACCTCAAGACGAGATTTCAACCTGATTTTTTCTTTCCCAAATAGAAACCAAGGAAGGACCAGGAGGTACAACCAGCCTCCCTGGAAGTATCAGGAAGGTGTGGGAGACTAGGATTTGTTTTTAGTGAATCCATCTATGGCCCACATACCCTGCCAAAGGGATTCTCGGAGGCAGTGATTTTGGTACAGGTCTTGGCTGAATGCATCACAGGTCCCTGGGCTGCTTCCATAATAGAAAAAAGCAAAAGTCGTATTCCCTACGTTCTCAGATGCTGTTTTATCCCCCAACCCATTTCCCCCCAAGGATAATCTTGTTGTTTCAAGCTTGCACCAGCGTGAAGAGACTGGAATGTGGCTTTTTATATGGAGTGTGGAGCTGTCTTAGAGAAGGGCCATCTGCTAGCCCAGCTCCGGCTCATATTTCACTGGAAACATCCCGAAAGCTGTGAGAATGTGCTATTCTCAGTGGCAATGGGGGAATGAGATATGGCGGGGCAGGGGGCTCCTGGTGAGCATCAGACTGTGCTGTTCCAGCTCCTGCCCACCCCAGACATCAACTGTCCTGATGTCAGTCCTGAAATAACCATGGTGGGACTAACCTCCGAATGCTCAGCTGGCTCAGCAGCAGGTTTAGCAGGCAGGGAGCTCAGCTCCAGTTGCACCAGCCAGAAACACGCACTCCTGTGCTGGGAAGAGCAGCGCATGTAATGCTGAGCTGGACGAAAGCAAACCTGGACCAAATCCCTTTAGCAGCCAGCTTTAACTCAGGACATGACTCCTGAAAGGCGCCTAACCTGTATGGAGGCACCCCACCAGCCCCAGTTTCCCTTCTGCAGCCGAACTGTGACTCTCAGGACACCCCCAGCTCTCACTGTAGCAGCAAGATCCCAGCTCTGAGTCAATCCCTTGGTGCCCAAAGCCCAGCAAGTTCCCGGGCAGGCTGCGAATACACATCTCCCAGCCCTGCATGCAAAGAACCATTTCAACTGCTTGTTTTGTAGAGACACTTTAAGTCATGGGGCAGTTTCTGCCTTGGGCTTGTCTCCAAAGTTACCAGGTATTAGGATTAGCTGCGTGAAAGTCCCCTATCCCTCTATCAGCCAAGCACTGCTTCCCAGGCTCATCCTGTTCCTCTCCCTTGGCTTGCCTGACCCCATGACACCAGCAAACCCAGCTACAAACTTGCCTTAGAGACAAATCAACACAAGGCTGCAGGCTTGTGTGCCCAGTCCCATCAGCAAGAGATCCAGCAAACAGCCCATGGGTGCAGGAGAAGCGGGATTGCCCCATGGGGGTTAGCAACACATGGGAGCAACTGGCATGGCTTGCACCATCCTCAACAGCATCTCCCGGAGGCTCTGCAAACATCCAGCAAACCCCTTTGTGGTGAATTTCTCAAGAAAAAGGGCTCAAGGAGCCATCAATTCCCTGCTGCAGGGATGCACACTCCCCCAGCACACCCTGTATGCACACACCCGTCTGTGTTGCATTGCTTACCATTACCCTGGATATCCCAGGCTGTTTGCTGGAAGGCAGCCACTGCTTCGCATCTAGTTACCTGGTTTCCCAGCAAACAAACTGGAGTTCAAATCCCCTGTCCCTGTCATTGCACAGGGGCAGGGAAATCTTTCAGCATCTCCCCACAGCACTGAAGGATGCTTTTCCAGGGACTGAGTTTTCTTTTCCTTTTTTGCTTCCTTTGAAAGCTGCCCGCAGAGATGTGAAGCAAACATGTACACAGGGGCACAGCCAGGCGCTTTCCCTGCTGGAGAAGAGAAGAGAAGAGGAGAGCCAGTTTGGCTCAAAAAGCGGTATAGCCAGTTGGGCTCAAAAACCTGCCTCAAGCTGAGGGGAGGGCTTGCTCCAGGGCAGAGACCTGCCAGGTCCCTGCTACCAAGGACTGTTTGTCTCCAGATCCCATCTCTGTCCCCATGGCAGTCAAGGCAGGGGAGCCTCACATCCCCCTGACCCTGCAGCGCTCCCGGCTGAAGGCTGAGGATAAGACCCTGGATTTTGAGTTTGAGGTGGTCAGTGCCCAGTTTAACCGTCGGGGCCGTTACGCCCTGAAGCTCACTGTGGAGAACCCGCTGCTGCAGGGCTCTGGTGCTGGTGTCTGGCTCCGCGTCAACAGTGGGGACATCATCCAGAGCAGCACTGGCACCACTGACACCATCAAGCAGAGAGACCTCAACCAGATCTACACCTTCCAGAGGAGGAAATTCACCTTTACTCTGCCCAGAGGTAAGAGGCTGGATGCCACGGGGATGGGTTGACAGGGGAGGTGACCCAGAAGCATGGCTCTGCAGCAAGCACAGCCTGTCTCAGGCTTGCAGAGCCTTGTACCATGCTCACACCTTCATGCCTGCAGCATGAGCTGGAGTCTAAGCTGTCTGAGCTTAGTGGGGTGGATGGGAAAGGTCTAGCTTGGAGAGTGGGGCCACAACCACCACTGATGCAAACACCAAAATCTAGGTATATCCAGACTGGATAAACCATTTGCTAGTGTTCACAGTGTTAAGCAGGGCTGCTGGTGGATGAGCCCAGGAGATGCTCCTGAGACCCCCAGCCCCTCTAAGCAAGACTTCAACCCCCCGCTGTTCCCAGCAGGTTTCTGCAAGAATGACAGGAACCACGATGTGCGGCTTCGCATCGAGGCCCTGCACTTCCCTGGGAGGGCAGAGAGGATGAGGATGAGCAGGCAGGTGGGTGAAGCCTTCTTCGCCATCTACCCCCGCACCAACCAGCCCCGGATGAAGCTCTCTGCTGGGAGGGATGAGGACTGGTACCGCTACAGCTCTGTGATGGCTTTGCTGCGGGTGGGCAGCGAGCAGCCGGCGATGCACTGTGGCCGGCTGGCCTTCACCGCGTCCTTGCACGAGCACCGACCTCTCACCACACTGGCTTTGGCCCCACTGCCCCCCCCCGGCACCGAGGAGGAGGACCAGCAAGCGGCAGACACAGCCCCTGCACCAGCCCCCCTGGACATCACTGTCCCCAGCCGCTCTCTCCATACACCCGAGTCTGCTTACCACTCGCTGCCCACCAAGGGCCGTGCCTGCTCCCCCGAGGTAGGAGAGACAAGATTTGGGGGTCAGAGATCCTTGCGCCAGCAAAACTAGAGCAGACCAGTCTGCTTAGGACAGGATTTGGCCCTATGGTAACTAGATGGCCCTACATAAGCACCAGGTAGAACAGAGGCAAAGAAGAAAGGTATCTATGGCTTTTAGGGGGTGTCTTTGTTAAACAGCAGATCTCTGCCTCAGTTTCCCCTCCCTCATTCCTTAACATTGCTGAGTAGGAGCCTGGTGTCTGTCCCTTGCCTGCCACCAAAGTCAGGGACCCTCTTTGTCCAGGACATGAGCAAGTTGAGACAAGCTCAAGATGCAGGCAGGGTCTTGGTGAGACAGCAACCACCCAAGTAAAGCCAGTAAAGAGGGTCTTACAGTCAAACCATGCACAGAACTTCAGGAAAAGACCCTTTATGGGGTATTCACCTGGCTCTGCCTGCCCCATCATGGTCCAACTACATGCTAATCCTCCCCTACCAAGCACCAGACCTTCAGCTTGCCCCAGATCTCACCCATGGCACCTGCAGCAGGACCAGAGCCTCCAACTCATCTGCTTAACCCACCCAAAGCCCCCTCACCTTCCTGGCTGGTGCAGGCAGCCCCTCCAGCAGAGACCCCCAGGGATGGTGACACTTCCCAGAATCACACTCATTTTTCCTTTGTTGAGGCAGTTGGGGCTGTGGAGGAGCAATCTCTAGGGATGCATGGGGAGTCTCTAAGTCTAAAATAAATGTTGAGGTGGTTATGTCTGGTTTAGGGTTTTGGTTTGGGATTTTTTTTATTTCTTGCAAAACTTCTGCTCTTGAAGGGTGAGGCCCTGAGCCCAAGTATTAGAGAAATGTGGGGGCAGATGGTATGGGGGATATGGGGGGGTGGACTGGGAAAGGGTTGTTGAAACTTGAATCTGGGCTTTCAAACCCCTTCTCTTACTACCAGAGGCTGCGGGCTGACCCTGTGCTCAGCTCCTCCCTGGAGCTCCCGGGTGACTCAGCAGGCGAGCATCTTTCCTCCTCCTCCTCCTCTTCCTCAGTTCCTGCCCCAAGGCGACCACTGAGCTGCAGCAGTTTTCACCTCTCCTCATCGGACTACAGCCTGGATCTGGCATCTTCACCAGCACAGGTGAGTGCAAACGGTGGAGAAGGCACCATCCTAAATTAATACCAAAATGCTATTATTCATAGTAGCTTCCCCTTAGAGCTTTGAGGTGCTGGAGAGGAGATGGAGGGATGCAAGGGGTCCCCTTGCACCCCTTCATCCTGTCCCCATCTCAGCTTGGTTCCAGCACTGCTCCTGCTCTCAGGCCGTCGTGTTCCCAGCCTGGTCGTGGGGATGGGGGAATGAGACATCAAACTCTGCATTTCTACTACCAAAAGGCAGCCCTGTAAGCTGGCCATCCCAACAGTGTATGGTGTCACCTAGATCTTAAAATGCTGACTGCAGTCATCTGGGGCTGACACATCTTAAATGTTTCATCTTGCAGCTCAAATCTAGACTTCTAAAAACTGCAGGAACCATAGGGCAGGGCTACCATAGTCCAAGAGGCTGCATTTATTTTTTCTTAGTTATGTTGAAAGCTGTCTAAATAAATAAAAAAGACAACCTTTACCCCAGGGGCTCCATTTCCTGCACCTCACTGTAAGAATAACATGTCTGTGGATGAAGATGTTGTCTATGCTGCTCTCAGAGGTGTCTTATACACCTGTGAAAACATTGCTTAAGAAAGCTGGATTACAGTACTGGAGATGGGACTGATGTCATGAACCTTCCCCAGGCATCCTCTGGGCTCTCTTCTCCTTCCAGGGAGCCCCCATGTCCTCCAGCTGGGCTGGTGAGAGAGCTGGGGATGGTGGGTTCGACGGCAAAGTCTTCTGCAGCATCGGGGCCACCAGCAAAGGCTGCTGGCTCGGGGATGGGGCTGGCACCCTCACTCAGCCCCCCAGCTAAGGGCTCCTGTGGTGGAGAGGTGACAAGGGACTCCACAGGTGGTGGTTTGTGTCTGACATGTGGTCACAAGGATGCCTGAGTGCTTGGACATGTGCTTCTGGGTCCTGGTGACTATCTTGGTGTGGCTGTAGGGTAAAAATTGGGTTGGCATCCCTCTCCCCCGCAGTGTGCTGTGCAGGGAGCTACCTGCTGCTGCAGTGCTGCAGGACACCTTTGTGCCTTGGCTCTTTCCCTTGTACAGGATAAATGTGTTGCTGTCAGCTCTGGGACACTTGGTCCGTGTATTTCACAGGAGTTACGGGGTGCTTGAGCCCTGCTGAGTGGCTCAGCCCCTCTCCAGGGCAGCCGACTGCTCCTTGTGCTGCAGGCAGGATGCTGAGCATTGCGAACCCTCAGGATCCTGGAGCAACTCCTCTCCCTTCACAGCACTTTGTCTCTCCTGATTTTCAAGTGGATGTGCTATCCCTTCCCTGATCAGCTGAAAATATACTGGCCAGAAATGCTTATTAGCGAGGCCTGATTGAGTTTGCTCAGCAAATGTCTAGACGGAAACTCTTTCGAGCTGTGGAAATCGATAGCAATCAGCTGGGATGCAGAGCGGGATGGAGAGCTGGGCCAGGGTGTAAGGCGAGGCATTAGCAAATGCAATTTTACTCCTGGGCCCCCAGAGAGAATGCAATAAATCACCTGCTGCTGATGTCACTGGGCAAGTATTTGCCAGGGTGTTTTTTATTTAAAAATTAAAAGCTGAGAGGCGGGTGGATGTTGGCTCCCCGCCCTCCTGGGAGGGCTGGAGTGATGGAAAATATGTTGGAGAGTGGCTGAACTGTGCTGGGTTGTGGGGAGGGGGGATGGACCAGGTGGAGATTTAATCTCCAAAAGCACTGCTGGGATGCTGCAGCCTGGATCTGGCAAACTGAGGATCTCAGACCATCACATGTGGATCCTGGCAGTGCATGGTGAAGGTAAACCCTAAACTGAAGTTTGAGAGCCTAAAGATCTTCCTAAACTCAGGCAGAACTTGGATGATCAATAGTTTGGGGAGTTGGTAATGCTGGACCATGGAGAGGGGCAACTTCAGAGGGGTGAGGAGTCCCACTGCAGGCTGCTGCTTAGGGTGGAGTGCTGAGAAATCTGGATGCTGGGCTATCACATCCGTCTGTTTTCCTCTTCCAAATGGCAAAGACATGCAGGCGCATCCCAGTGGGTGACCAGCTCCTTGAGACAGCCTCTGTGCTGAGCATCTCTTCTGCAGGACAGTGAGGGTGATGGATGGGTGCTGAGCTCTCCCCAAAAGGCCAAGGCACAAGGATAATGATTCTTCTCATCTCACCACAGCCTGCAGATAATGTATTCCTAGGCACGAAGCGGGAGGCTCTACTGGCTGTTCAAATGCCTCGTGCGTGTTGCAGAGCCAGACGGCTGCCTAATTGTCCCAGGACCTGGGCACGGCACCGAGCAGATCAATAACATGCCATGGATGATCTCTCAGTTGCTGGGATGGCTGAGGCTGAGCCTTGGAGCTCTCAACCCCAGGGATACATCCTCCCCCAGCCTGGCAGGGACGGAGGAGAGGGGACTGGGCTCACCAGAACCTTTGGGGACTTTGCAGCAGAATGCAGGGCTCAGTTATGGGCAGTCAGCACCCAGGTCAGAATAAGTCAGTCCCTTCCTCTGGGAACTATTCCCATTTCACTTCCAGAGGGTCTATGTGGTGCTAGGGGGAAGGAGCCAACTTTTGGAGATCTCCTTGGCAGTTGGACTTGGTTGCAAGCCCACAGAAGATGGTTTGTTTCCAGTCTCCCTGGACCAGCTGGCAGCAAGGCGCCCATCCCAAAACAGCAATCTGTTGCTGTCAGGGTACAAAGAATCGCAGCCTTTCTGCAGCAGGCAAATGGGTTTGCACACAGCTTGTGTTCCTGCTCGGTCTTGCTTGTTTACCAGGCTGCAAGAGCGCAGGAGTATCAGGCAGCTGGGTGAGACACAGCTGGTGCTTCCCATGTTAAGCACACCCCGTCCACACTGTGCAATGCCAGCTGTGACTTGTGGAGTTTCAACAGGTCTGAAAAATGGGACAGAACCCGCTCCTGGCTCTGCTTATGCTGTGATTTACCCCTTTGGATTCCCCATGGAGCTAAACAGCTTCCCTTATAAAGCATGCACAGGTACAGAGTGACTTGGGGTAACATAAATCACAAGGATGAACAAAAACGTTCCCCAGGAATAAAGACCACCTTTATTTTTTAAGCAAGATACAGAAAGTAAAGCAGTGACTCCTTAAGCACCAAATGTGTTTCAGGCACAGGGACCTGGGGGAGTCTGAGCCACAGCTGGGTTCATTTTGGCCCCTTTTGGGGGGAGTTCAGGCTGGGGCTTCCTTAAGGCATGTGGGTGGTATCTATCTCAGGAGTCCCTTCCCCCAGGTCAGATGTGGATGACAGGCTGTGAGCTGGATTTGTTCCCCAGCTAAAAGCAGCACATCTAGCAAGCTAAGCCCAGGTCTGGCCTCTCCTGAATGCTTTAAATCAAACCCAGACCTGATTGCAAGGCTGGCTCAACCTGTACTGAGGGGCTGGTTTTGGGCTGAGACATTGAATTTCTGTTTGTCTGCAGTGGTAGGGGGAGCAGAGCTGCAGGGGCAGGGCAAGGGTGCTTATGCCGGGATGCAGATGCCCTTGCATCACCGAGCGATGATGGTGGATAACAGCTTCTGTCTTCTCATCACCGGAGCAGCAGGGCTGGGGCAGAGGTCTCTGTTAGAGGGTGATGGATGGCGTGTGTCTCCCGTCTGTCCCCCTGACGGCTCATCCATCACTCATCCCGATGACAGCGGCCATCACAGTGAGGGTGGCAGAGGTCCAGCCCTCCTCCTCAGCCTGCAGCCCCGACGGCAGGGTGAGGGGCTGGAGCTGCCTCCACTCTCTGAAAGCCCAATGAGGCTGAAAAATAAACTTTACTGGCAGGGCTCACCCCGGGATGCGGGTGAGATGAATAACACTGCTCCGGCGAGCAATTTGTAGGGCTTTGAAAAGCTGTCAGCCCAGGGAGGAGCACGCCTTGACGGGTTCATCGGGGACTTCGCCTTCCTCCGGCAGTGCCTCGGCTCTCAGCATCCCTTGATCAACCCCACTCTGTGCCGGAGGGAGTCAGGAGCAAAAGGGGACCCGAGGCAAATGGTTTTGGGCTGCTGCTTGCATAGCTTCAATTTACTGAAAGATTTTTTTTTTTTTTGAGTGTGAAATGTATGTTCCTGGTGATGTATTGCAAATAAATTATATCCCCTATCAAAATGTTGGGGAGCTGAGGCTGCCCAGCCTGGTCCAAAAGCCCTGTTCTCTGCATGTTTCTCCCTGCCCAGGTGGAGATCTGGCATGGAAATGAACCAGCAGAGTGGCAATTCACATTTTCTTAGCTAAAATGGAGAAAAATCTTCTCAGATAGAGAAGATGGATCCTCAAGAGGTTTTCCAAGCTGCTTCTTGATTTGCTTGTCTGTGAAGCACAAACCCTTTGGCTGCTCAGAGGAAAGGCAGGCAGGAGGAGCGGCTGCTTGCTCTAATTCCTACAATTTAAGTCATCATGTCCCTTTAAGTGTCAAATAACTGCCTTGATAAGAAAAGCAAATGGGGTTAAAAAGAGAAAATTGCTCCGTTTTAAGAGGGGGGGGAGGAAATTGCACTGATGCCACTGATAAATATAGCAACTGTAAAACTCTCCTAATGGAGCAGACGAGGTGATACTGGGCTGCCGGCCCATTTAATTATTTGACAGGTGAATTGGGAGTTTTCTACATAAATGGAAGGAAAATGAATTTGGCAATTTTTAGCCCAAAGGGATTCCCGGCCTGCGGCAAGGGGTCTCCTCAGGGAAATCGGCTCGGAGTCAGCATTCCTGTGTGCCGAGGGGGGAGAGCATCCTCCCTCCCGTCACCCCAAAACCGTCCTGTGATCTTTAATGAGCTCCCGCAGGGTCCCCTCGAGGAAACATCTTGCTTAAAAATAATAACAAGAAGAATAAATCAAGCTCAGCCCAAATCCAAGAGAAAAATCCCCTCGTCCCTGCTGCTGACTGGGAAATAGGAGCAGAGCAGCAGCGTCTGCGTGCAGCAATGGGGGTTACTGGAGCAGTGGGGAGGGCTGGGGCTGGCAGGATGAAACGATGAATAAAACAGTGTTT